AACCGCCGCTGGCTTCGGCATCCATACGCACCTCTCCTCTACGAGACCCCCCGACCCGAACCCCACTCCCGTACCCAAGAGGGGCCAGCGCACCCACCCGCGACCCCTCTCCAGCGAGGTTTCGGGGCCCCTCGGGCGCGCCACCGGTAGCTACCCCGCGGGTGGCGACCCCCTGGCAACCCAGCCGGCCCCGCACTCACCGTGCAGCAGCAGGGCTGGGAAGAGGTATCTCATCAGGCTGCTGTACGGGGCGGACATCTCCCCGCCTGGCAGCGGCCCCTTCGCTCCGGCCGCTGCCGCCCGCGCCTCAGCGCCGCCGCGGACAGCCCACGGCCCGGCGCTGGGGGGCAGGCGGCTGGCGGAGCCGGGGACCACCGGGCACCCTCCGGGGCCGGAGCCGCCGACCGCTGAGCGCTCCTCAGGGCTCCCGCCCCGCACACCGCTGCCCCGGCAGAGCTCCGGCTCGGCCGCCCCTCGGTGCTGGAGGATGCCCGCTCCGCCGCCCCGTCCCCTGCCGTCTCCCCGGAGCGCGGCGGCGGCTCCGCTTCATATTTCCCCTTCCAGCAGGAGGAGGAGGAGGGGTCGGGAGGTGGGGACTCCTCCCTGGGCGGGGAGGGGGGCGGCCCCGCCGGACACCGCTCCCACGGCGGAGGGAAGGGGCGCCCGGGACGCGCGGGACGGGGGGGGACGGACGGGACGGACGGCGAACACCTTGGGGCTGGGCAGCCCGGGGGCTGTGAGGTGGGGCGGTGGGTGGGATGTCGCCGCTTGGGGGGCTGGAGGCTGGGAGAGCGGGCGGGGGTGACCGGTTCCTTCCCCAGCTGCGGGGAAAGCGGCCCCGAGCGGGGGGCGCCGGCCGGGCTGCGGCTGCCGGGGCCTGAACCCCGCGTCCCGGGAGATGAGCGCCCGCCGCCGCCCCCCGCAGCCGGAGAGAAGGGAAGTTGGCGTCCGCCCTTGCCTCGAAAAGAAACCTTGTGCGGGGTTGCGGCTTTCCACGTAAATCGGGCATCTAAGAAGCCAAAAATAGGTGCCTAGGTTGCCGCCTTTGGTGCTGCGCTCTCCTGGGCGATTTCCCCCGTGTCTGTCGCTGATTAGTTTTGCTTTTTATTCTGGTCTTTAGGCCTTGGTCACGCAAACACTTTTACGCACGTGCTTAACGTGGTACACGTGAGTAACTCGTGTGCCTGAGTTTAAGCACGAGGCTTTCGCTTGTGATGTTCCCCGGACTGGGACATCATGTTTTCCAGTTTGTGTTTGGACTTGTGGGCCTCATGTAACAGGAATGTGTAACAAATTGGAGGCAATTTTGGGAAAACGAACAGGACTGAGTTTTGAGCAGCTTAACTGAGCTGAAGCGCTTACACGCTGCACGCTTAAAAAGAAATACAAACAATGATGATTCCTTCCAACTCCCTTGAGAAGGAAGAATAAATTCAATCTTCCTCGCTTATATAGGGAGGAAACTGAGACAGAAACAAGTAAGTGGTGAGTCAGAATTAGAGCCCCGGTGCTTTGGATTCTCAGGGTTATGCTTGCGTATTCACACAAACGTTTTTCAAGCCAGAAAGGATGGTTTCCAGAGCACTTGGTGGCGGTCTGTACAAGCCTGTACTGGTCAGATATGCTCTCAGTGACCTGGAGAGAGATGCACAGAGAAAAGCAACATCCTTCAAGAAACAGGTGTCCATGAATATGGGCAAGAAATACTGGGTAAGGCTGTGAAAGTACCCTCACCCAACGTTGCTTGCTCATCTTCAGCTCATTCCTGTGGTGGCCACAGAGGTGTTTGTCAGGCATGTGTGTGAGGGGAAGGGATTCTTGCTGTAGACGCAGTGCATTTGGTTACGCATAGCTCTGTGTAACCACTTGGCTATTTTCAGGACTAATCCGGGGCAAAATTTTGATTTTGCCACTTGTAACAATCCTACAGCAGCAGAGAGACACGAGTGGTTTTTCTTTACCTGCAGGTTCAGCAAGTGAAACAGATCCAGTGAGCAAGGAAAACAGCAATGTTTGCTTAAATACAGTACATGCATCTGAGTATCTGAGTCCTGGGGACCTGTGATGTTCTTCAGATCCGTGTGTGATGGTTGCCTCTCTTAAGAGAAGAAGATCCTGCCAGGATGATCAGTGAGGTAATGCTGGGCATGCAAAAATATAAAGAGAATTGAAAGGCATTGTATGTGGGAAAGTGAATTGCCTTGTTCTTGGCCATGAGCACCAGATTATTACGAAGGGGTTCTGCCTGATGGAAGAAGGCAGCTTGAAGAGTCTCACGTGTTTGGCAGGCGTACAGATAACACGGTGTGTAGGAAGGCTCTTCATATAAGTCACCTGTTATTTACCTGAGTGTAAAAGGCAGGCCAGCATCACTGTGAGCAGTAATGAAGGACTGGTGGTTTTGAAGTATAATTCTATAAAAGCAGCAACATCCAAAAGGAGAGGCTTCTCCTATAGACACAACCTGCTTTACTGTTCCCAGATCAAGCAACATAATTATCTGCAAAAAGATGAGACTGAGGATTGCCTGCAAAAAGTCGTTTATCCCAAAAGTCAATTATCCCAGAAGCTCACAGTTTCCCCCCTGGGAAGTGCAGCCCCTCACAGCAGCATCACTAACAGCTTTTCATAAGAGGAAAGGGGAATGATTTTACTGCACCATTAACAAACTTGGTAAAGGAGGCTCTGTGAGAAACTGGAGGTGAGAAACCAACAGAACCCCTTTGCGGACCCCTCCCAGACTGATCGGATTGGGATCTAACAGGGTCCACTTGTGATTTACTATCATCAGTGCAGCTTCAGATGTGGTAATTAAATAAAAGGAAACCAATACCCAAGAGGTTCAGACATGGGAGAACTTGCCAAAAATGACATACACTATAATTTGTCTTTTACTCATGTTTTTTATTTTGTGTTATTTTAAGGATATTTGGTTTTTTCAGCCTCATGCACAATATTTTTTTTAAATATACCCAGTCCTACTTGTTTCATTACTGTACCCCTGTTCAGAATGTGCTGTAATGGGAAGCACTGACAAATAACAGATCTTCACACTTTGATCTAAGCAGCATGTCACATCAGTGCTCATTAAAAATTGTATTAACCAACCCAACCATGACTGTCTGAACTTGGGCTCCTAGGGCAGGGTATACACCTAATGTACGTATAATGTAAAATCCTTTACAAAGGCATCTCTCAGTCATATTCTCAAAAATTTCATAGGGGTCAAAGAATTTCAAAAAGGAAGCCATCAACAGAAGTTTGCACAGAAAGGAGCTGTTTAGGAAAAAAAAAAAAAAATCTGATGGGAAATGTACTTTGAGGCTGGGGCCCTCTGCAAAAAGTATTAAAATAGGAAGAAAACTAACTTGTTGGACTTGCTGTGTGACACTTCAAAGATCTAGGCATATCAGCATAGCACTTGTCTGGCTCAAGTGCCGGGGGGTTGGCTGGCCACCAATGCCAATCTGGTGGTGAAAGATCTTGAAAAGGGAGAGAGGATGGGAAAGAATGGAGGCATGTGGGACGCTTTATGTTATGGAGAAGAATGGGATGGGGCAGCACTCTTTTACTTGGTAATGCTTTGACAGTGCCACAGCTATGATTTGCTAATGGCTATATTATGTTTTTAAAAAGACAATATGTTCTCTTGAATAAATCAATGGAGCAGGGTGTAGAGATTTATTAGAAAGGAGTGACTAATTCACAAATAGTCAAGCGCCTGCCAGATTTCTATTTGTGAGTTGTCTGTGGCAAGTTCATCAGAATAAGTGAAGATTTGGAGAGGAGTTTTCCTACATGTCCAGCTAGAGATAGAAACTGCAAGATGAGCTTGGAGCCTGCCTGATACATAGAAACACGATGTTATTTTGACTTCAGCTGTTCGAGGAAGAAGTTAAACCATTTTAAGATGTAAAACTTTAAGATGTAAAACAAATGGCAATCGTTTTGTTTCTTTCAATTTGGACTGAAAATGCTATGGTTTATGGGGTATAGCAGGGTTTATCAGTTACTGTATCTATATTTTTTGATATTTTTAGAATAAGGTGTTTAAGCTGCTGATTTTTTTTTTTTTCTTATTCTTTGTTAAAGTAATTGAAAGAGCCTTTGGCAATATTTTCTAGGTGTTTGGCTCCCAAATTGTGCAGAATATTTCTCCTTCCCCTACCACAGACTTATCTTCAATGCAGCCACTGAAGCCAGTGGAATTTTATGATTATCTATCTTAAAGGGTGCTGAATCTGAGTTTGTGTTTCTCAAGCACATACCTGTGGTAATTCTCACCTGCAAACTGTGGCTATGGGATAGTACAGGTTACCACAGAGGTCTATCATTTATTGCTCTTCCTTATTTAGGTAGATAACTAGTCTATTTTGGAAATTTTAATTTAATTTAGTCATCTAAGACACAATGCACATTTTGAAGCTCTGAGCCTGGTAATAGGCGTAGAAAATATAGACCAAACATAGTAAAAATGAAGGTCTTGTGGACATTGTCAAAATAGGCTCTTCTCCCTCTATTTTTTTCAGCTACATGCAGAGACATGCATGCATACACACAAACACACGGAGCCTATCTACTAGAATAGACTTGCTGGTTTCACAAAAATGTAGTTAGCTGAAGTAGGTTTTTTTTTTAGTTTTTCTAGAACAGTTTGAAAAGTAGGTGGGAATACAGGTATAAACAACATGGAGAATAGACCCTGCAAAGCTCATTCCAACCCAGACAAAGAAATCAAAGAAAGACGTGAAGAAGTCAAACAAAGCCAATGGCTTTCCATAAAATAAGCTCTCTCCTCATTTCTCCACTTGTTTCTGGCATTTAAAATGTGCTTGTGATGTGATTGCTCAGCGCCAAAGAGGAACTTCTCTGTGTAGAATTACTTTAGTACGAGCACGGACAATTTCACGGTGCTGTTGCTGCAACCAGAGCTTTAGGGCCGGGTCCAGCGCCCATGGAGCTCAGCGGGGGTCTTGCCATTGACTATTGTGGGGGCTGGATCAGGCCCAGGATGAGGCTGTTGGAAAGGCCAGCTGGACCAGCGAGTGCTTGGTGTACGCTGGTGGCATTCAACTGGAAGCACGACAAAGGGGGGCCAAAGGTATTTCTTCATCCAGCGTACGTATGAGCAGCCATCCTAACCCTCTGTTGCAGTCTGGGCAAAAATGCTCTCCATATACCTTCTTGGTCTGCAGCATTGTGCGACTCATTGGAGTAATGATGGTTTCCTTTGCTGTAGACAAAAGAAAACTTCTGGAAAAATTTAAACACATGTATGGTGTTGTTCACTGCTGCTTATATTTTCTCAGAGTGAAATTAAACCTTGATTTTGATTAATTTCTCAGAGAAAATGGAAGTTCTGGCAATTTTTTTATAAACTATCCAAAGAAGCAGATTTCATTTCCAAACTGAAAAATGGATTAACGTGACCTGCCAAGCTTATGTGAGAGTCTCAAGTATCAGCTAATGAACCTGGGAGCTACTTTCTTAGTTTATGTTCTTCTTGTAGTCCCTCTGGGGCCAGTGCTTCTCCATGTTAATAACATCCTTGGGGAAATGGGATTTTCATCACTTGCAGAACACTGCCCGTGGTCTTCTTTCCCCTTGGCAAACTTCTGCAGCAGGGGAAACACACAGCAGAGAGACAAAGAGTAGGAAACTGAACCTATTCCAGGCAGCCCTGTTAAAGAGGGAGCCATTCCTCAGGGAGGAGAGGAAGAAGCCCTCCTGCCCTTCTGCCCATAGCTGACCCGAGTGGTCAGATGGACCTGGGGGGGGGGGGG